GATAGGTCTTTTAAAGATGGATAATTCTTTTTTATTATTTTGCAATTAATATTATTCATGTTTTGCAAGATATCATTCAACTTAAAGTGTAATTTAAAGACTTAACTAGGTTATTATGCTAACATTAATAGATTATTATGCAAATTATTGGATAACAGTGGTTTGTTCTGTAAACATTTGGTGGCTCAGTGCTTAGTACTGTCGCCTCACAGCAAGCAGCAAGAAGGTCGCTTATTTGACCCTCAGCTGGGCCAGTTGCCGTTTCTGTGGAGTTTGCATGTTTTCCAGTGTGCTCCGAATTCCTCCATAGTCCAAATATATATATATATATATATATATATATATATATATATATATATATATATATACATACATATATATATATGTTACAGAAACATCTCCTGATGCACAACCATGGACACATCATCAGTGTTGTTTCCTGGGCTCACAGGGTGTTTCTGGTCTTGCAACAGACACTCTCCTCCAGGCGACCCGACCGAGGTTGATCAGACCCCGGCCTGTGTCCAAGTGGCATGCTACTGCCCCCACTGTTCCCCCCTCTTCAACCAGAGCCATCTGGATGCTTTTTCCGCTGCTTCCACGTTGTTGCTTAGGGCTCTTCTTCGGTTTGTGCCTGTTATTCCCAGTGTACCATAGGCCTTGCTCAGGGTGTAGCTGGCAAATCCCCTACTGCCCACTTCCACTGGCATGCACCTGGTCCTCCATCCATTCGCCCTACATTGCTCCACTAGCTCCTGATATTTTCACCCCTTTCTCTCCTGAGCCTCCTCCATCCTCTCCTCCCAGGGCACCGTCAGCTCCAGCAGGATTAATTGCTTTGTGGCCTCAGAGACCAAGATTATTTCAGGTCTCAACGTAGACTGGGTGATGTGTGGTGGAATCTTTAGCTGCCTCTCAAGATCAACTGTCATCACCCAGTCTCGGGCCGCGGAGAGCAACCCAGCAGAGCAGCTCTTTGCTGTTCTCTCTGGCCTTTGTCCTTCATTGATGAACTGAATGACCTTGGCCGTGACTTGGCGGTATCGACTGTCCTTGATCCCCTTGCTAATTGCCTCAGCAATGGATTTAAGGACCTGATTGTGTCTCCATCGATACCGACTTTCACCTAGTGCCTTGGAACAGCTGCTCAAAGTATGTTCTATTGTCCCTGGCTTGGAAAACAGCAGGCATGTCTCTACTCTGCCCCATATGTACAGGATCGATGGGCTGGGAAGAACGTCGTAGACCCCTTGGATCAAGAACCTGATTCTCAGGGGGTTCCAAATATATATATATATATAAATATAAACCAAGTTATTTTTTTATTATACCTGTTAAATTATTTGCTAAATTTTTTCTGATGTCACGGTGGCACAGTGGGTAATACGATCACCTCACAGTAAGAAGGTCGCTGGTTCGAGCCCTAGCTAGGTCAGTTGGCATTTCTGTGTGAAGTTTGCATGTTCTCCCTGTGCTTGTGTGGGTTTCCTCTACAGTCTAAATACATGTGTTATACAGTAGGTGAATGGAAGAAACTAAATTAGCCGTAGGGTATGTGTGTGAATGCAAGAGTGTATGGATGTTTCCCAGTGTTGCGGCTGGAAGGGCATGTGCTGTTTAAAACATATCCTGGATATGTTGACAGTTTATTCTGCAGTGTCCCCTGATTAATAAAGGGACTAAGCTGAAAAGAAAATGAATGAATGAAGGAATTAACTGTTTTTGGTCCTTGTGTCAATACCATAATAATACCATATATACCGCATTACAAGCTAAATCACTGCAAGAAAATTTGATACCAACAGAAGCCTAAAAATCACACATAAAACAAAATCTCCAGTTGTTCAAATCAAGCAAAATTTGCTCAATTAATGAACGACTCCCTGGAGAACTGATTCATGACTCAGGATTCAAGCGCTCAGTGAGTCACTCATGCTTCAATGTGATGTTTAATGTGAAAATATGATATCGCCTTAAGTCTTTTCTGAACGTTGTTTGTATAAAAGTCTCATACACCTCCACACCCCGTTAATGCACAACTGTTACTTCTTAAGGCTAAAGTCTCAATGTTTAATCACCAAATAATGAATCAGTAATGAACCTGTTCTGCATCATTCATCACACGTTCACAGTCTCTGTTAGAACAGGCCGACTACTAACCACCTGTAACCCTCTATAACGCTAACAAAACAACCCGTCAGGCCTTTTATCTTTAATTAATGTCACAATGCAAACAATAAAACAATCCTTTCAGCAAATGCTCTCACAGAACAGATACAATTGGTGCATTTCCAACAGAATCAAACAGAGTTTTGGGCATTTGCTGAGAACTGAGAAGTCGTGCTCTAATATGTAAAGATGATTGTAAAGAGGCCTGTGCAGTTGTGCAATTCAAGCACAGCACGCTTTAAAAAGCCCAGAAAGAGGAAGCTGCGCAGCTGTAAAGGCTTTTCTTTCAGAAGGAGGGCAATTCAACAGTTTTGCATATCGAGTTTAAGCCACTCCACAGTCCGCCTGCTTTCTGAAATGGCTCTCAAATTTCCAGAGAGTTCTATCAGCAGTAATAACTCTTACTCTTGAATCCTGTGCACTTGACCTCACGAGTTCAAGCAGAATGTCCAAAGAAATGCCACGCATGACATGATTTATTGAACATAGTGTGTTTAGTGTGAATATTAATGACATTTTAATGTTAAAAATATAACATACTCAAATACTTCAACATACTCCAGTAATCTTTATTTATCTTATCCTTTAAGCTTTGAATTGAAATCTTTTAAAATCAGTGTTATTTTGGTATTTTTTCTACTACTTGTACTGATTTGGCAATAGCAGGAAAAGAGATTTAAATGTTATGTTTTAACAGTATATTTAAATAATGATAATATCAGTATAATATTACATAAGAACATTATGTTTTATTCTCGTAAATGTTTTTTATATTTTAAATATTTTATAGTAGTTACTAGGGAAAAGGGTTTTTAAATATTATATTCTGAAATAATGATATCAGTATAATATTCATTAATAATATTATGTTTTATTAATGTTTGCTTTTATATTTTAAATATGTTATTCTCACGCCATTACATAATAGTAGTCTGTTAAATCCCCAGTGTTACTTTATTATAACTATGATTCTTAAGCTGTTGTTGAAATGTAATAAATAAAATAAATATTTGTAAAATAAATAGAATATAAAATAAATTATTATTATTATATAAATTAATTAAATGTAAATTTATTTATAAAGTAAATATAAAAATAAAACAATAACAACAATAATAATAATAATAATAATAATAATAATTATTATTATTATTATTATTATTATTATTATTACATAAAAATACACTTTTATTTAATACTTCATCAACTAAATAAAAAAATGAAAAATATACAATATCTTGCCAGTTACCTGAAATGATTTTATTTTATACTTATTATTATTTAAGTAGAATACTTATCATTGATAATATTTTACTTATGATTACATATTAATGGTATAATGTTATCCGGTGTTCAGCATAATTGAGTACACCCCATTTTGACAATGAATATTTTTATCTATTTCTCAGTAAATATGAGCAATTTATTTTGGTGCATTTAAACAAAATAGATTTATTAAACGTATATATTTATTAAAATATTTTAGTCACCAAACATATTTAGAAATTGAAAGATAATACAATTAAATAAAAAAATATATTGCAAAAAAAATTACAACCAAAATGTCAATTTTTCCTCCTCTTTTTTAAATTTGTATTTAATATTTTTATATAACATAAATATGGCTGTTCTGGTTTTTAGACTGTTATCATAAGTTTTTTTTTTTTTGTGAGATAAGCTCCAGATTTGGCTTCAGTCCTGACTAATCTAATGTATATGCACAAATATAATATTGTATAGCTTCCAATCAAAAATATGAATTAAAAAGATTTGTGAGGTGTGTACTTATATACAGTTGAAGTCAAAATTATTAGCCCATTATTATTGTTCACCCAAATTCTGTTCAACAGATTTTTTTTCAACAGATTTTTTGGACATAATAGTTTTAATAACTCATTTTTAATAACTGAATTATTTTTTTTGTCATGATGACAGTATATTATTTGACTAGATATTTTTCAAGACACTTATATACAGCTTAAAGTGACATTTAAAGGCTTAAAGGTTAATAAGGTTAACTAGGCAGGTTAGAGTAATTAGACAAGTTATTGTATAATGATAGTTTGCTAGACTATTGAAATTTTATTTATTTATTTTTTTAATTAAAACTGCTATTATTCTTGCCAAAATAAAACAAATAAGACTTTATCCTGAAGAAAAAAAATATTATCAGACATACTGTGAAAATATCTTGCCCTGTTAAACATAATTTGGGAAACATTTAGAAAAAAAAAATCAAAAGGGGCTATTAATTTTGACTTCAACTGTATGCTTTAAGCTGATGTTTCTGATAAAATCTCATAAATATCACACAGTATAACATCATACTTCATTATTTTTGAATATTGGTTTTTAAGCCAGACGACAAAAAAAATAATAATAAAAATCATTTAGAGGTTTTATGGTCAAATGGCCAAATAACAGGCCTCTATTCAAGAGTCATTCAGTCTTACTGTGCTTGTCTTGATGGCAGCAGCTACTTTACACTTTTAATGTAAAAACTGAGGTACCTGTATAATACAGCTGGCAAAGAGGTATTATAAACCACTATTGCATCTTGCAAACATGCAAATATCGGTCTGAATGTAAAAGGCAAATTAATCGTGTCACTTTACAGAACAGATAGCCTTGCAAAACTGCAATGATCAATGTGGAATAAATCACCTGTTCTGAATTGAATTAAAAAAAAAAAATGATGCATCAAGCTTTTGCAGTACATTTTGCAGTACATTAATTATTTATCCTACGATAAATACGAATCTTGCATACAGCATCAAAATACACGTCAAATGTGTAAATCTATAGTTTATTTATCTAGAAATTGTACTTACATTTTCCCATCTGATATGCAACAATGTTTAATATCTGGTCAAAAGTCTTTTCTTTTTTCTTCCTGAGATCATCTGATAATTGCTTCAGTGGGCTGCCTTATAAAAGCAACAGTTTCAAGTGATGTCACCGCAAAAGGAAGAAGCCGCACTAATTTTGTACCACTAGAAGAATTTTAAGTTTCAGCTTGGCACTTTTTGGAAAGTTACAAGTTGATTCTCTAAAATCAAGTGAAACATGAGCGTCTTAAGTGGTCAATACCTCTTCATACAGTCTGCAGCAAACAAATGGTTGATTCTGTTTTTTTTTTTTTTTTTTTTTGTGATGTTCAGTAATGAATTGACCAAATTGCATCAAAACGTTTTTTTTTATATATAATTTTTTTCTTTTTTTTAATGAATTCATTATATTTTATTTAAATGTTGTTTTCATATATTTTTATTTCATTTAATTATTTATTTAAACAACAAATTGATTCATTTAGATTTTCTAAAAATGTTTAATTAATTTAATTTCATTTATTTAAATTAAATTCATTAAATTGATTTTGTTAATTGTATTTATATTTAGTTTATTTAAAATCTCTAATAAAATAATAATTATTAAATTAATTTATTAAAATTCTAATTGTTAACAAAATTTTGTTTTAATTTTTTTTTGTTATATTTCATTTATTTATTTATTTAAACCCAAAATTGGTTCATTTTGATTTTCATTTAATTTTTTATTAATTTATTTTTATTCATATGAACTCATTTTATCAAATAAATTACATTGATTTTGTTAATTTTGTTTTATGTTAATTTTATTTAAAATCTCTTATAAAATCATAATTATTAAATTAAATGATTAAAATGAATATTTTAAAAACAATTTTGTTTTATTTTTTTACATTTAATTTAATTATTTATTTAAATGCTAAATTAATTTATTTTGATTTTCATAAATTTTTTAAATTTCATTTTATTTAAAATCTCTTATAGAATAATAATTTTTAAAATAAACTATTGAAATTATAATTTAACACTATTTTTTATTATTTTATTTAGTTTTTCGTTTATTTTACATTATATTTTATTAGTGTTCATTTTTTTACTTGTGCTAATATTGTATATTGCTTAAGCAATTAAAAACTACATTTACTTTGATTGTATTTTTGTTAGACTTTTTATGTGTACTTTTACAATTTTATTTGATACTTTTTAGACTCTTTTTAGTTTATTTAACAGTTTTTAAATATAACTAAGCACAAATTGTACTTGTCTTATTGATTTGACTATTGACACATGATTTAAATAATTTTTCATTTATCTGACATTTATTTTAACAATGGATTTTTCTTTTTAAAAACTGATACTGCATCTCTATTGGTATACTCTCAGTTACAAATTTCATGAAATTTACAACAGTAAATGTATAATTTATATAAACATTGCTACAGTAAGTACATGTAGTTCCTTTCTAGGATGCTGTTGTTCAAATCTGAGTTTAAAATTAGGCTGCTGAGAAGTGCTGTAAGCATCTGAAACTGCGGCGCTAGTTGATTTATTAGTGTTTAAAGGAAACACCTGCACACACTTTGAGCTTCACTGACCACTCGAGCTCATCATGTTCCTTTTCTCAACTCACTTCACTCAATTATTACACAAACAATCACACAGCTCAGCAACAAAAACAAGGAACAGCTTTTTATAACAAATAACTAAATACATCTGCTTGTAAAGTTCTGTCATGTAATTAGTTCAATGCAGCACATGTTGACAAGTGGGATTTCTTTTTTTTTTCTCATACACTCATTCATATTTAAAACAGCCTCCGGAAAAGGCTTATTATTTAGGGGAAAAAGACAAAGTTAAAAATAATACTTACTTTGGCCTTGTGTGAGAAGACAGATCTTCCTTCAAATTGAGAATGCATTGTGAATGAGATGCTTATGGTTAATGACAACAGGATTCTCTAATGCAAACTACTGTACGTTCTCAATGCAAAGAAGCAGTTGTCAGTAGGCCTCGGTGGATACGAGAGAAACTTTTTTCTTTTCTTTTTTTTTCTTTTCTTTTTTTCTTTTCTATTCCCTTCCTTTCTTTTTGTATCTTTTTGCTTGCTTTTTACTGCATGAAGCGTTTGTCTGTGGGCAAAAGTGTCAAGTTATTTTTATTAGCAATAACCGTCAGTTAAGGGAATAAGGTCTTGACCTGACCTCAAGTGTTGTTTATCTCTTTACAACCACCTCTATGGACATTTTGTGACCATTATCACTGTCTAAATGACACTAAAAAGTATTTCCTAGTTGAAAACTGGACATGATGTCAGATGATGATGTTGATATATATTTGTTACACTGCTACTGCTGATAATTCAAATGAGTGCAAAAAAAAAATCATTATGATTTTGGTCAAAATTTTAGAATTTAAAAAATTATTATAAGTGGGACATATGATCAAACATCATATATATTATAGGTGGGCATAGATTTTTTTTTTTATCTAGTATAATCTTGGAATAATCTACATTATCTAGATTCAGATGGCTCATTTGAATACTGTCGAAGGCATTCAGAATATGTGTGCTACCCAAATAATACGTCATTGAGAACGGGTTTCTCAAGCCAGGTGGCGCATTAGACCAAGGGCTCATCTCCTGTTTATAAAATGCATCACAAATTGTTTGAGAAACTGTTTTACTATGATAATTGGTGATGGAAATAAAATATGTTCAATAAGATGCTCTTGTGTTTACTGACTGTTTATTCAGTTAAACATGAATTTTGATCTGTAGGCCTACATGAACTCCAGACAGCGATTTTTGATCACCTTATTCCGACTAAAGTCATAACTGAACTAAACAGAAATGAAATTAAGAAATGTTGAGTATCCATATATTAGTGGCATCATTGAAGTAAAAAAATTAGCGTCATGTAGGACTTGTCACCATATTTTATTTTTTTTTCCATTTGGCGTGCGTTATTAAATTCCATAACACTTTCACCAGTCCTTACTCCTTATTTGCGTCTAATACCCCAGTTTGTCAAGTAGGTATGAATGAAATGTTCATGAGTTAAAGTGAAACTGCCGAACCGCAGTTATAGTCAGGCATCCTGCTGATTTGATTCAGAAGGGCACTTTTTGGCAGACGGCTCACTGGTCAGGTGAAAGTCATTAGCTTGCGTAGAATAGACCCAGCTATTTTTTATCACACGATAAGAGTCTCCTTTTATTTGTTGTATTTCAGCTAGAATAAAAAAAGCTGTTTTTATTTTTTAAAAACCATTTTAAGGTCAAAATGATTAGCCCCTTCAAGCTTTTTTTTTTTTTTTTTTTTTCATCTACAGAACAAACCATCATTACAAAATAACGCCTAATTTCTCTAACCCGCCTAGTTAACCTAATTAAGGCTTTAAATGTCACTTTAACCTGTATAGAAGTGTCTTAAAATATCTGGGAAAATATTATTTACTGTCATCATGGCAAAGATAAAATAAATCAGTTATTAGAAAAGAGTTATTAAAGTATGAAGTTGGGGAAAATATAAACAGGGGGGCTAAAAATTCTGACTTCAGCTGTGTATATATACAGACACACACAGTGGGGGTGAAGTATTGAACACATCATGTTTTTATAACATTTCTAAAGGAGCTGTTGACATGGAATTGAACCAGATTTTGATAAAAACACAAACAATACAAACATAACAATTAAACAAAACATACTGAAATTTATTTAATACTTTATATAAAAGACTTTTTGGTGATGGCAACTTAAAGACAACATGAATTGCTCAGATGTGAGTTTAATAAAGATGTGAGAAATAAATTTTCACAAACTTCAACAGAGTGTAAAAATCTTGATGGTTCTGTGTGTCTGATCTACCAAATCTGATCTTTATTGTATTTTCTATTGGATTCAAGTCAGGTGATTGCCTGCGCCATTCTACAGCTCAAAGCATTTGAGAGTTTCGTTGGCTGTGTTTTGGATTATTGTCTTGCTGAAATGTCCACCCTAGTTTCATCTTCATCCTCCTGCTAACGTAGATGTTGGATTGAAGCAGCTACTATTTATTTGCAATGACGAAGGGCGGAGGGTTGGTGAATAACTACTGAGAGATTTCAGCTGCAGTCTGGGCTTTCCCTGCCTTTCTACGCCTCCCTTTCTTCATGTGTTCAATGTTTTTTCCTGTGTCATTTAATTTTATTACTCATTGCTTAATTTGTAAACTGATTAATTAATATTATTTTCTTTGCATATATGGATCTCTTACCAGCATCTGGTGACCATTTCAAGTCAACAGCACCTTTAGAAATGTTTTCTGAGTAAAATAGTGACCCAACAATAGTGTTTTCAAAAGCATATCACAGCCACATAGTTTTATCTTGATTTTAGATCTGTTTTGTGGAACCATGCTTCACCAGATTCAAACCCAAGTGCTCTGCATCACAAGAATATTGTACAAAAGGAGATATGGCATAGACATATTGACAAGTGGCAGATAGGTCAGGCAAATATTTTATTACAAATCAAAGATGGTTAAGTATTGTGGTGTATATTTAGTAAAAAGATTTGCATAAAACAATCCTTTATTTGTCAACAATATCTCTCTGTAAATATCATTAGTGTGAAAAGGAACAAAGGCTGCTGGTGTCACACTGCCCTTAGCTTTCATTTGACCTCGAAACTGCGGTCAAGTGTATGTTGTTTAAGTTTTGATTTCACAAAACTGATTCATGTATGGCAGTGTATGATGTCAAATTGAATCACCTGATGAAATACTGGTGCTGTATGTGGCTGGTCCTACCACAATACAACAACTGATCAAATAAAATAGTAATTAGGTACCAGAGACACATTGGCTCAGCAGTTAGCACTGTCGTCTCATAGCAAGAATGTTGCTGGCTCGAGTCCCGGCTATATTAGTTGGCATTTCTGTGTGGAGCTTGCATGTTCTTTCCATGTTCGCATGGGTTTCCTCCGGGTGCTCTGGTTTTCCCCACAGTCCAAAGACAAGTGGTATAGGTAAATTGGAGAAACTAAATTGCCATAGTGTGTGTGTGTGTGTGTGTGTGTGTGTGTGTGTGTGTGTGTGTGTGT